ACCGTCTTCAAAATAATATAATTCATCTGGTAGCGTGGCCGAGCGGTCTAAGGCGCTGGTTTTAGGCACCAGTCTCGTAAAAGGCGTGGGTTCGAATCCCACCGCCGTCAATCTCTTTTATCTTCAAGTTCTGTTTCTGCGCATCGAAATTACTGTCTTCAACAAATGTTATTCATCTGGTAGCGTGGCCCAGTGGTCTAAGGTGCTGGTTTATGGTACTACTCTCGTCAGAGGCGTGGGTTCGAATCCCACCGCTGCCAATCTTTTTTATCTTCAAGTGCTCTTCCTCCTCATCGAAATAATTGCTGTAAAAGTTATCCTTCATCTGGTAGCGTGGCCGAGCGGTCTAAGGCGCTGGTTTTAGGCACCAGTCTCGTAAGAGGCGTGTGTTCGAATCCCACCGCTGCCAATCTCTTTTATCTTCACGTGCTGTATCTGCGCATCGAAATAATTTCTGTAAAAGTTAACATTCATCTGGTAGCGTGGCCGAACAGTCTAAGGCGCTGGTTTAAGGCACTAGTCTCGTAAGAGGCGTGGGTTCGAATCCAACCGCTGCCAATCTCTTTTATCTTCAAGTGCTCTTCCTCTTCACCTAAAGTACTGTCTTTAAAAGTTATTCTTCATCTGGTAGCGTTGCCAAGTGTTCTAAGGCGCTGGTTTAAGGCACCAGTCTCGTCAGAGGCGTGGGTTCGAATCCCACCGCTGCCAATCTCTTTTATCTTCAAGTGCTTGGTTTGGTCATCTAAACTACCGTCTTCAAAAAACATAATCCATATGGTAGCTTGGCCGAGCGGTCTAAGGCGCTGGTTTAAGGCAGCAGTCTGTTCAGAGGCGTGGGTTCGAATCACACCGCTGCCAATCTTTTTTATCTTCAATTGCTGTTTCTGCGCATTGAAATTATTGTCTTTATAAGTTATCCTTCATCTGGTAGCGTGGCCGAGTGGTCTAAGGCGCTGGTTTAAGGCACCAGTGTCGCCAGAGGCGTGGGTTCGATTCCCACCGCTGCCAATCTCTTTTATCTTCAAGTGCTTGGATTGGTCATCTAAACTATCGTCTTCAAAAAATATAATCCATATGGTAGCTTGGCCGAGCGGTCTAAGGCACTGGTTTAAGGCACTAGTCTGTTCAGAGGCGTGGGTTCGAATCCCACCGCTGCAATTTTTTTTTCATATTCAATTGCTGTTTCTGCGCACTGAAATTACTGTCTTTATAAGTTATCCTTCATCTGTTAGCGTGGCCGAGTGGTCTAAGGCGTGGGTTTGAATCCCACCGCTGCCAATCTCTWTTATCTTCAAGTGCTGTTCCTGCTTATCTAAACTAGCGTGGCCGAGCGGTCTAAGGCACTGGTTTTAAGGCACCAGTTTCGTCAGAGGCGTGGGTTCGAATCCCACCGCTTAAATTCAATTTGTCTTGAAATGTTGTTTCTGGTCATCTAAACTAATGTCTGTTTTATTATCATGGCCCGTAAACTGTGCCAATCGCGGGCTACGCGCAGGATATTTTATATGTATTATTCATATTTTTTATTTTATAAAACAATTTAAAGATATATTTTTCGTCACCCGTTTGCGCATAAATAAGAGAGGGAAACTTCTTATTGTAGCGCGTGGCATGTAAATTCCCGGTTGGGCTATTTTTAGTAACCGGATGCAGTTTAAATTTCGCCTTACCCTACCCCTGTGAGTCATCAACTCTCAAGCGCGCGCGCTCTTTCCGTTTCGTTTGTAGTAATCAAAACAATCAAAACAATAAACGGAAAGAGCACGGGCGCGCAAGTTGATGATGCACGGGAGTAGTGTAAGGCGAAATTTAAGCTGCAACCGGTTACTAAAAATAGCCCAACCGGGAATTTACATGGCGCGCACCACAAATAAGAATTTTACCTCTCTCATTCATGCACTCTTGGTTTACGTCATTTCACACAACAAATTAGAGTACAAACACTACCCAAAAGCGTGTAATACTTTGAACCATTTAGCACTGATATGTAGCACTGATTTAACAATAGAAAACGATAGTACTATTTATGCTGCACCAGAAACTCATAAGTAGGTAGAAACGTGTAACAGCCATACATTTTTTTTTTTGTACGACGCACCAGAATGTTCACATTTTTATTCTTCGTATTTTTCCCCATTAAATCTTGTCTTCTTGCTTCAAAACTTCCCAAAACTAAATTAAAGGAATATATCACAAATGTTTGAGTAAAAGATGAAGTAAATCTTCTCTAAAAGTCAGAAAAGAGAAGTTTGATATGTGAGAGGAGGGCCAAATTCTTGTATCTTCAAATGTGGTAGCAAAATTCCTAGTTTGGATATCTGAACACTCTGGACTATGATTGTAGTTTTATACGTTTCATCTCCCTTATAAGTTTCTGCAGGTTGCACGCTTTATAGTTTTCATACTCTAAAGCTATATTATTTTTCCTTACATTTTTCAACAAGCTTGTTGTTATTCTTCGATAAATATCGCTTTCCCTGTTTAGTAGATTGTCATTCCAGCTTTCACTCGTCAGTACGAAACTTGCATTCAAATGAAGATTCTCACCTCCTGGAAACACAAAACCAAAATTAGCTTTATGCACTTGCAACCAGCATCAATTAGCTTGATTGTGTCATTTGACTCCAACTGGCTACCAGAACCCTAGTACACTTTCTTTTGTTCAGTTATCTTACTCACAAGATTAATACCTTTCTCAGTTGAGTTTGGCGCGAAAAAAGTTTTGTTACGAAGTTTTGTCGATTAAATGTACATGTTGTTTACAGTGCGACTACTRTAATCGGGGCCACTTACACATCGAGAACCAATCAAATTGTAGAATAAAAACAATACATTACAACTTTGGGTAGTGGAGACAATCAGAAAGCAGCAGAAAATAATAGCTCTTCAACATATCTTTTTATTCGCACGAGAAAATGACGATGGCTAGATATCTAGACGTTATCAGTGTCAAATTACAATTCTCGTGCTTTCTGCTGCTTTCTGATTAGCTCCACTATCCAAATTTGGAATGTATTGTTTCCTTTTACATTTTACATTTTAATAGGATTCTCTAGTCTAAGTGGATAAGGGTTCTGGTAGGCAGTGGGAGTAGTTGCATAGATAACTTATAATAAATCATCATAGCCACGCTTTATTCCCGGTAAAGTTTGACTACATTTAAATACATACTTCTATAGAAGGCTTTTTGCTGCCAAACGAGCAAGGGAGTATTCAAAATTAATAAATGATGGGAAGGGAGGCTAAGGGGATTTATTTTGAAATATTTTCATTTTGGGGTGACCCCACTCAAACATTACATATTTTTCAGTAACTCCCTCGCCTCCAATCTTTAGTCTTTCATTAGATGCTAATAATATCATAAATAACAAAAAAAGTTTGAAATCAACCCCCTC